CAGCGGAAGCTAAGGATCATAATACACTTAATGAAGCAATTTAATCAAAATAAGCATGCTTGGAAAAATGATGGAAAAGGTAAAGAGAAAAAAGATTAACTTTATACCTTTGAAGACCTCCATTATAACTTCTTCTCCTAACTCAATGGGATCACCAACCACAAATCCGTGCTATCCTCGGGTTGATGAACACGGTTGTGGGACCGAATTTTGAGTGAAAACAAAGGMAAAACACTAATGGCTAGGAGAAGACAATAGAAATTTAAGTGGAAAAATTCAGTACTTATGCAAGTAAGCATTAGCCTTATCCAAGTGATCTTCATCACCTATATAAAGACCAAATGCATGCAAAGACAAGCCTTGCATGCCTTCCACTTCAAACTCCACTAGCATGTAAAAGATAGGTGTCATTGCCTTGAAGAAACACTTCAAAAACCACTAGTTAGTGGAAAAATCCAACTTGATTTTTTAGTGGAAAAATTAGTTTTATCAAAGTTTTATTTAAAAAATCAAGTTAGTGGAAAAATTCAACCACTTCAAGAAACACTTAAGTTGGATTTTTCCACTAACTTGATTTTTTAAATAAAACTTTGATAAAACTAATTTTTATAAAAACAAAAATTGAAATATCAATTTTCTATTAAAACAAAAACCAAGCCAAATCAATATMTCATATTAATTGGTCTTTGACACCTAAGCTTGATTAATCACATTAATCAAATTACTAACTCTTTTTCATGCTTTGAACTTATTTAAAACTAATTTAAATAARTCATACTCTCCATAATAATTAAATGTCAATTAGATTATATATTATATCTCATATAAAATACAATATTCCCTTAAAAACCGAATTTGAACACTTCAAATTCTTGCTTCACCTAGTTCATCAATTTTATCCTTTATGAGCTAGCATGGAGACCCGTTGGACCTACAGATCATGGGCTCCAACGATTCGAGACTAACCGGTCAAACTCTTTAACTTAGTTAATCAACATTCGTTAACTAATAGGACTGTCCACTATAGCTTGTAGATGCACTCCCCTCACTGTAGATATATTTGTGTTCATTCGATATAACTGTCATCGGTAAGTTGATCCTTCACAAGCCGTTCGTAACCTCAGCTAGGTCAAAAAAAACGTTTTACCCCTGAGTTACATCTTTTCTCCTTAAGTACCACTATCCCTCTAATGAACAATTGATTTAGGATCAAATCACTAAATCCAATTCCTCTCGGGCCAGTGAGAGGATGAGGCCCCTTGATCAAGACCCGGGACCAGCCCTTAAGGGAACAACCTCTCTACTATCCCTAAATCGGGTAGGAGTGAATTCCGTCTTGCTAATTCTATGTCCCCAGCTATCTACCCAGTCTTATCCCTGAAATGGGAGGCATATTGAGTAGCGCTGATGAGCTTACTTTCACCTATGCAGATCAAGGGAGAATCCTGAATAAATAGGAGTTCATAGATGGCTCATGATTTAGATCAAGTTATTTAGKTCATCGATAAAAGAAATTAATCAGTGTTATCCGTAAACGGTGTTAATACGTAACAGTGATTATTTAAGGGTCAGTCTTGCACAATCTCATTGTGTAGAACACCCCCGCTCACATGTTTCTACACGAACGAATCAGGATCACTTCGTTTATGACACCTTACAACATTTGTAACAATCATAAAGCGGGCCGTATTCAATATCCAGGAAAAGGTACCCAACTTGATCCATGTACTATAAACTGTTTAGGCTATTTACTTGAACTTGATCCAGTTTATGTCTCCACATAAAGTCCAAGTACTCATTATAATAGCCAAGGGTTCGTAGTTTATTGGATTTATTAAAAAACAAATTCACTTTCATTTAACAACATTTGTCTGAATAACCTCACATTAATGTTCACTGTTTACAAACTACGAGTTTTAGGACAGATTACCCAACAAACAAAGGCAAGTAAAATTAAAATAAAGGCCAAATTATAATTTAGTTTTCCACTTAGTGTGTTTAATATGTTTGATTCCCTAATAATAATTGACTACTTTTGTATTTTTATATCATTTTGTTTTAAGGTTCAAACAATTAAAGTTGTTGTGATCACCTTAATCCMTCTTCCCTTTATTTTATGAAAGTCAATTCTTGTAAAGTTTCATCTTTTTGAAACAATTATGAAAATAAAGATGTAAATCTATAGGCATTAATGCTCATAGGAATAGTTACAATTTTAATTTAACCAAAAATTTAATTYCAATTTAGTTTGTTATATTTATGTGGTATTTTGTTTTCAGTTCAAACCAATGAAATAATAACATGACCATTTTAATATTTAGGACATAGGGGCGAGATGAAGAGTTATACTAAAACAACAGAAAATGAAGTGCAATGAGTAGGGTGCACAACCAGGTTGACACAACTAAACCAATTTTTGTGGTTGGTTTGCAGTTTGTTTCAATTTATTATAATTTTGTAAGTAAAATATTTACTTTAATTTTATTTGGAGTTGAAAAATAGAACTTCATGAAATATATAAAGTTTRAATTCTCTAGCATATTATTATTAATTTTTTTTGTTGAGAAACTCTCTAGTGTATTATGATATATAAAAATACAGGATTCAAATTGCATATTTGATATTATAATTTGAACATGTAAACTATGTTTAGATTATTTCAATAAGTTAAATTGATGTATGATTAAATTTTATCAATCATATAAATAAAGAGAAAATAAAATTTAAAATTGAAAAWAAAATTTAAGCACGGACACGAGTTCTCCAAGGTTGGTTTGCAATTTGTTTCAATTTATTATAATTTTGTAACTAAAATATTTACTTTGATTTTAGTTTGAAGTTGAAAAATAGAACCTCACGAAATTAACTATATATAAAGTTAAATTCTCTAGTTTATTATTTATTTTTTTTTTTGAGAAATTCTCTAGTATATTATGATATATTAAAATACAGGATTCAAATTGCAAATTTGATATTATACTTTGAACATATAAACTATGTTTAGATTATTTCAAGAAGTTAAATTGATGTATGAATAAATTTTTTCAATCAAATAAATAAAGAGAACATAAAATTTTAAATTGAAAAAAACAAATTTAAGCAGGGACATGAGAGGAGAAGACAGAAGGAAGAGGGGGAAGGAAATGAATAAGTAAAGAAATAAAAAGGGGAAAAAATCGATTGTTAATTAAATTGACTCTTTTTTATTATTACATTTTTTAAAATTTCCTTAGCTGAAATATTCTAAAATTGAATTGAATATTTAAATTATTTGACTTTTTTTTAGATTTTTTTTCGATTATGAGTCATTTAATTATTTTGTCGATTTATTTGTTTTGAAATGACAATAAATGAGATGCTATATTAGGTAATTAGTTGATGTGATGACTAAAATTATGGCATGATTTAATTTTAAGTACATAGTTTAAGAAAAACAATTCTTTAAGTTTTAAATTACCGATATTGCAGTAAAAAAAGAGAGAGAGAGATTAAATATATTAAAATTTGAATAAACTTTTATATGGGTTATAAAAAAAATAAATAATCAATATAACTAAATAATTAATATTATTCAATTACAATTTAGATTTAAATGCATAAATTATTATAGTTTAGACCATATATTTTTAAAATAAAATTAATATTTTTTGGTTCTGTTTAATTATTTACTCAATTTTTTATAGTTTAATCGATCTTGGTTTAATATTACAAAAAAATATGCCAAAAATTTTAAATAATATATAGATTATAATAGAAAAGATATTAATTACAATATTTTTTTTAAAATTACTGCATGAATTAAAATTTTTACTCAATTTTTTTGTTCTCAGATTGTAAAGAAAAAAAGAAAAATATTGGTAAAGATTTGTTCAATCTTTAAGATTGTTTTTATAAAAGAATATATACTTATTTAATGTTATTTTTTTGTCTACGAAGGAATAAATGACATTTTAAAATGAAGTAAATTTGTAATTTTAAAATACTAAGTATCCTTATAAATTAAAATAAAAAAATATTCATCTGCTTGTGGGTTTGATGATTCTTGCACATTTTATAATTTAATATGCTACCATTTGCAATTAAAATACACAAAAATATTTTCTTCTATTAGGTAGCTTAATTTATTTTTTTYGGTATTTT